ATGCAGATGAGTGCCGTCGATCTTAGAATCACCGCACACTTCACTCATTTGGGCAGTCACGGGGCCAAAACCAGAGTGTGGAGCCACAGTGTGGCGGTGGAGGCAGCAGCAATGGGAGGCCATACAGCACCCTATGACAAAAATGGAAACCACCAGCAGTGTGAGGAGACCTGAAAGTGGCACATGGCAGAGTGTGGCGATGGAGACAGCAGCAATGGGAGGCCGTACAGGGACCCATGACACACTCTGGACCTGGCAGCAGCATGAGGAGGCGGTACAGGGGCCCATGACAGATTACGGGCCTGGCAGCAGCATGAGGAGTTGGTATGGGGGCCCATGGCAGATTACGGGCCTGGCAGCAGCAATGGGAGGCCGTACAGGGACCCATGACACACTCTGGACCTGGCAGCAGCATGAGGAGGGTACAGGGGCCCATGACAGATTACGGGCCTGGCAGCAGCATGAGGAGTCGGTACGGGGGCCCATGACACACTCTGGACCTGGCAGCAGCATGAGGAGGCGGTACAGGGGCGCATGATAGATTACGAGCCTGGCAGCAGCAACTTGGACAGGAGGACGTTCAGCTTCTGCACCGTCGGGTGCGTGCTCGCAAACTGTTGTCTCTTGGAAACGGATTCCAAGAAAGACTGCTGACGGAATCCGTGAAGAGGAGTAGCAGGAGCAGGAGCATCTGAACGAGCGGAATATGCCAACAAGCGACAACAGGGGCCCATGACAGATTACGGGCCTGGCAGCAGCATGAGGAGTCGGTACGGGGGCCCATGGCAGATTACGGGCCTGGCAGCAGCAATGGGAGGCCAGTAATCTGCCAGCACCCTATGACAAAAAATGGAACACACCAGCAGTGTGTGAGGAGACCTGAAAGTGGCACATGGCAGAGTGTGGCGATGGAGACAGCAGCAATGGGAGGCCGTACAGGGACCCATGAGAGACTCTGGACCTGGCAGCAGCATGAGGAGGCGGTACAGGGGCCCATGGCAGATTAGGGGCCTGGCAGCAGCTATGGGAGGCCCGTAATCTGCCAGCACCCTATGACAAAAAATGGAACACACCAGCAGTGTGAGGAGACCTGAAAGTGGCACATGGCAGAGTGTGGCGATGGAGACAGCAGCAATGGGAGGCCGTACAGGGACCCATGACACACTCTGGACCTGGCAGCAGCATGATGATGCGGTGCGGTACAGGGGCCCATGGCAGATTACGGGCCTGGCAGCAGCAATGGGAGGCCGTAATCTGCCAGCACCCTATGACAAAAAATGGAACACAACAGCAGTGTGAGGAGACCTGAAAGTGGCACATGGCAGAGTGTGGCGATGGAGACAGCAGCAATGGGAGGCCGTACAGGGACCCATGAGACACTCTGGACCTGGACCTGGCAGCAGCATGAGGAGGCGGTACAGGGGCCCATGGCAGATTAGGGGCCTGGCAGCAGCAATGGGAGGCCCGTAATCTGCCAGCACCCTATGACAAAAAATGGAACACACACAGCAGTGTGAGGAGACCTGAAAGTGGCACATGGCATGAGTGTGGCACAGCATGGCATGAGGCCGTACACCATGAGAGTGGACCTGGCAGCAGCATGAGGAGGCGGTACAGGGGCCCATGGCAGATTAGGGGCCTGGCAGCAGCTATGGGAGGCCCGTAATCTGCCAGCACCCTATGACAAAAAATGGAACACACCAGCAGTGTGTGAGGAGACCTGAAAGTGGCACATGGCAGAGTGTGGCGATGGAGACAGCAGCAATGGGAGGCCGTACAGGGACCCATGACACACTCTGGACCTGGCAGCAGCATGAGGAGGCGGTACAGGGGCCCATGGCAGATTACGGGCCTGGCAGCAGCAATGGGAGGCCCGTAATCTGCCAGCACCCTATGACAAAAAATGGAACACACCAGCAGTGTGAGGAGACCTGAAAGTGGCACATGTTTGGGGCATGATTCATGGCGGATTTAGTCAGTTGTGTCAGGAACTGGTGGTTTGAAATCCAGATTAATCCCACGCCTGATTCATTTTCACAAACGTGAGTCTCTCCACACATTGGGTGGACAGTCGTGTCCTCCGCGGAGTTACAATACCTCCTGCCTGCACTAAACACGCGCTCCGATGCCACGCTACTGGCCGGGCATGACAGCCTTTCGAGGGCAAATTCAGCTAGTTGGGGCCAAAGGTCAAGTTTCGTTGCCAGTAGTCAAGGGGATTGTCTACCTCGGTTGGCAGGGTGCTGTCCAAGTAGGCCTAAGCCTGTTGTTTGAGGTCCTGCTCCAGGTCCACCTGATGCTGCTGCTGCGGCTGGTTAGTAGTTTCCTCACTGCGCTGGTGAAGAAAGCTACTCATCATCGACTGCAGACTGAGGCAGCCGCTGCTGGTGGAGCTGCCACTGCTCCTACCCCACCCCACCCCTCCCCTGCTGCCATGGCAGCGGAACGCGAGCGCACAGGGCCCACAGTGTCTGAGGATGGACGTTGGCGCAGAAAGGCAGAGACCAGCTGACTACATAGGTGGTTTTTTATAGTACTGTTAGCATTTTGGCCTCCCTCTCAGCAGGTGTGAAAAAGGCCACCATTTTTGAACGGTAGCGAGGGTCCAACAAGGTGGACAGCCAAAAGTCATCCCTCTGTCTGATGGTTATTATTCGGCTGTCGCTACGCAAGCAAGCGAGCATGCTATGGGCAGGCCATTTGTGCCAAGGAATGCGAGGGACTCCCTGCCTCCATCTCCACAGCATACTGCCACGGTGCGTCTGGGTCCTCTGTCTCCTCCTGGCCTCCTCCTCTACCAGATGCTCCTGCTCCTCCACTCCTGTCCGCTGAGTGGAAAAACCACCCATTTCACTCAATAATTCCTGAGCACCAATGTCCTCCTCTACCTCCTCCTCTTCTTCCTGTCCTGCCCCCACAGGGGTCATGTGGCGTTGAGATCTGTGCGCCACGTCTACCGCACCCTGACCAGCCATTGTTAACAGCATTTGTTCCAGGACGTGCAACAGAGGAATGACGTCGTTCATCCCATAGTCCTGCCGACTCACGAATAGCGTGGCCTCCTCAAAGGGCCTGAGCAAGCGCAGGTGTCACGCATGAGCTGCCAATGGCTGACATCTAAGTTACACAGGGAGTACCTTTATCCGCTTTTAACATCAGGAAATCTGTGATGGCCTTTCGCTGTTCGTAAAGGCGGTCTAACATATGTAGGGTTGAATTCCACCTTGTTGCAACGTCACAGCATGAGGAGTCGGTACGGGGGCCCATGGCAGATTACGGGCCTGGCAGCAGCAATGGGAGGCCCGTAATCTGCCAGCACCCTATGACAAAAAATGGAACACACCAGCAGTGTGAGGAGACCTGAAAGTGGCACATGGCAGAGTGTGGCGATGGAGACAGCAGCAATGGGAGGCCGTACAGGGACCCATGAGAGACTCTGGACCTGGCAGCAGCATGAGGAGGCGGTATAGGGGCCCATGGCAGATTAGGGGCCTGGCAGCAGCTATGGGAGGCCCGTAATCTGCCAGCACCCTATGACAAAAAATGGAACACACCAGCAGTGTGAGGAGACCTGAAAGTGGCACATGGCAGAGTGTGGCGATGGAGACAGCAGCAATGGGAGGCCGTACAGGGACCCATGAGAGACTCTGGACCTGGCAGCAGCATGAGGAGGCATAGGGGCCCATGGCAGATTAGGGGCCTGGCAGCAGCTATGGGAGGCCCGTAATCTGCCAGCACCCTATGACAAAAAATGGAACACACCAGCAGTGTGAGGAGACCTGAAAGTGGCACATGGCAGAGTGTGGCGATGGAGACAGCAGCAATGGGAGGCCGTACAGGGACCCATGAGAGACTCTGGACCTGGCAGCAGCATGAGGAGGCGGTATAGGGGCCCATGGCAGATTAGGGGCCTGGCAGCAGCTATGGGAGGCCCGTAATCTGCCAGCACCCTATGACAAAAAATGGAACACACCAGCAGTGTGAGGAGACCTGAAAGTGGCACATGGCAGAAGATGGGACAGCAGCAATGGGAGGCCGTACAGGGACCCATGAGAGACTGTGGACCTGGCAGCAGCATGAGGAGGCGGTACAGGGGCCCATGGCAGATTAGGGGCCTGGCAGCAGCTATGGGAGGCCCGTAATCTGCCAGCACCCTATGACAAAAAATGGAACACACCAGCAGTGTGAGGAGACCTGAAAGTGGCACATGGCAGAGTGTGGCGATGGAGACAGCAGCAATGGGAGGCCGTACAGGGACCCATGAGAGACTCTGGACCTGGCAGCAGCATGAGGAGGCGGTATAGGGGCCCATGGCAGATTAGGGGCCTGGCAGCAGCTATGGGAGGCCCGTAATCTGCCAGCACCCTATGACAAAAAATGGAACACACCAGCAGTGTGAGGAGACCTGAAAGTGGCACATGGCAGAGACACTGTGGACCTGGAGACAGCAGCATGGGTACAGGGACCCGGACTCTGGACCTGGCAGCAGCATGAGGAGGCGGTATAGGGGCCCATGGCAGATTAGGGGCCTGGCAGCAGCTATGGGAGGCCCGTAATCTGCCAGCACCCTATGACAAAAAATGGACACACACCAGCAGTGTGAGGAGACCTGAAAGTGGCACATGGCAGAGTGTGGCGATGGAGACAGCAGCAATGGGAGGCCGTACAGGGACCCATGAGAGACTCTGGACCTGGCAGCAGCATGAGGAGGCGGGTATAGGGGCCTGGCAGATTAGGGGCCTGGCAGCAGCTATGGGAGGCCCGTAATCTGCCAGCACCCTATGACAAAAAATGGAACACACCAGCAGTGTGAGGAGACCTGAAAGTGGCACATGGCAGAGTGTGGCGATGGAGACAGCAGCAATGGGAGGCCGTACAGGGACCCATGAGAGACTCTGGACTTGGCCTGGCAGCAGCATGAGGAGGCGGTATAGGGGCCCATGGCAGATTAGGGGCCTGGCAGCAGCTATGGGAGGCCCGTAATCTGCCAGCACCCTATGACAAAAAATGGAACACACCAGCAGTGTGAGGAGACCTGAAAGTGGCACATGGCAGAGAGTGTGGCGATGGAGACAGCAGCAATGGGAGGCCGTACAGGGACCCATGAGAGACTCTGGACCTGGCAGCAGCATGAGGAGGCGGTATAGGGGCCCATGGCAGATTAGGGGCCTGGCAGCAGCTAATGGGAGGCCCGTAATCTGCCAGCACTGACAAAAAATGGACACACACCAGCAGTGTGAGGAGACCTGAAAGTGGCACATGGCAGAGACACTGTGGGATGGCAGCAGCAGCATGAGGAGGCAATGGGAGGGTACAGGGACCCATGAGAGACTCTGGACCTGGCAGCAGCATGAGGAGGCGGTATAGGGGCCCATGGCAGATTAGGGGCCTGGCAGCAGCTATGGGAGGCCCGTAATCTGCCAGCACCCTATGACAAAAAATGGAACACACCAGCAGTGTGAGGAGACCTGAAAGTGGCACATGGCAGAGTGTGGCGATGGAGACAGCAGCAATGGGAGGCCGTACAGGGACCCATGAGAGACTCTGGACCTGGCAGCAGCATGAGGAGGCGGTATAGGGGCCCATGGCAGATTAGGGGCCTGGCAGCAGCTATGGGAGGCCCGTAATCTGCCAGCACCCTATGACAAAAAATGGAACACACCAGCAGTGTGAGGAGACCTGAAAGTGGCACATGGCAGAGTGTGGCGATGGAGACAGCAGCAATGGGAGGCCGTACAGGGACCCATGAGAGACTCTGGACCTGGCAGCATGAGGAGGCGGTATAGGGCCCATGGCAGATTAGGGGCCTGGCAGCAGCTATGGGAGGCCCGTAATCTGCCAGCACCCTATGACAAAAAAATGGAACACACCAGCAGTGTGAGGAGACCTGAAAAGTGGCACATGTTTGGGGCATGATTCATGGCGGATTTAGTCAGTTGTGTCAGGAACTGGTGGTTTGAAATCCAGACTAATCCACGCCTGATTCATTTTCACAAACGTGAGTCTCTCCACACTTTGGGTGGACAGTCGTGTCCTCCGCGGAGTTACAATACCTCCTGCCGCACTAAACACGCGCTCCGATGCCACGCTACTGGCCGGGCATGACAGCCTTTCAAGGGCAAATTCAGCTAGTTGGGGCCAAAGGTCAAGTTTCGTTGCCCAGTAGTCAAGGGGATTGTCTACCTCGGTTGGCAGGGTGCTGTCCAAGTAGGCCCAAGCCTGTTGTTTGAGGTCCTGCTCCAGGTCCACCTGATGCTGCTGCTGCTGCTGCGGCTGGTTAGTAGTTTCCTCACTGCGCTGGTGAAGAAAGCTACTCATCATCGACTGCAGACTGAGGCAGCCGCTGCTGGTGGAGCTGCCACTGCTCCTACCACCCCACCCCTCCCCTGCTGCCATGGCAGCGGAACGCGAGCGCACAGGGCCCACAGTGTCTGAGGATGGACGTTGGCGCAGAAAGGCAGAGACCAACTGACTACATAGGTGGTTTTTATAGTACGTTATTTTGGCCTCCCTCTCAGCAGGTGTGAAAAAGGCCACCATTTTTGAACGGTAGCGAGGGTCCAACAAGGTGGACAGCCAAAAGTCATCCCTCTGTCTGATGGTTATTATTCGGCTGTCGCTACGCAAGCAACCGAGCATGCTATGGGCCATTTGTGCCAAGGAATGCGAGGGACTCCCTGCCTCCATCTCCACAGCATACTGCCACGGTGCGTCTGGGTCCTCTGTCTCCTCCTCCTCCTCCTCTACCAGATGCTCCTGCTCCTCCACTCCTGTCCGCTGAGTGGAAAAAACCACCCATTTCACTCAATAATTCCTGAGCACAAATGTCCCCTCTACCTCCTCCTCTTCTTCCTGTCCTGCCCCCACAGGGGTCATGTGGCGTTGAGATCTGTGCGCCACGTCTACCGCACCCTGACCAGCCATTGTTAACAGCATTTGTTCCAGGACGTGCAACAGAGGAATGACGTCGTTCATCCCATAGTCCTGCCGACTCACGAATAGCGTGGCCTCCTCAAAGGGCCTGAGCAAGCGGCAGGTGTCACGCATGAGCTGCCAATGGCTGACATCGAAGTTACACAGGGGAGTACCTTTATCCGCTTGTAACATCAGGAAATCGGTGATGGCCTTTCGCTGTTCGTAAAGGCGGTCTAACATGTGTAGGGTTGAATTCCACCTTGTTGCAACGTCGCAGATCAGGCGATGCTGTGGAATTCCGTTCTGCCGCTGCAGCTCAAGGAGGGTGTGCTTTGCGGTGTAGGAATGGCTGAAATGCATGCAAAGTTTACGTGACATTTTAAGGATGTCTTGCAGTGGGATGGTGGATTTTAGGAACCGCTTGACAACCAGATTGAACACGTGAGCCATGCATGGCGCATGGCACAACCTTCCTTGACGCAGAGCAGACACCATGTTCTTTCCGTTGTCGGTCAACATGGTTCCGATTTTCAGTTTGCGCGGAGACAGCCATCTGTCGATTTCTCTGTTCATTACACTGAGAAGTTCCTCCCCTGTGTGACTACGTTCGCCAAGGCATACCAGGTGCAGCACAGCGTGACACCGTTGCGCCCTGCACATGTGATATGCCGGTCGGGTAATGGGACTTGGCACGGGGGGGTGGCGGCTGAGGACACGGCGGAAGAAGAGGTGGTAGAGGCGGACATCTTTGCCGGACCAAGGACGTGCAAACGTGGAGGCAAAAGCGGCGTGACCTGTCAAGTTGCTGTTGCTGGTGCGGCTGTGACGGCACCACGTTCACCCAGTGGGCCGTAAATGACATGTACTGTCCCTGACCGTAGTTACAGCTCCACACGTCGGCGCTGCCGTGCACTTTGGCAGAGACCGACATGCTCAAAGACTGGCCCACCATCTCTTCTACATGTGAATGCAGGGGGCTGGCACTGCCTTTTTGGCGAAGAAATGACGGCTTGGCACTCTCCACCGCGGCGCGGCACAAGCCATCATTTCTCGGAAAGGTGCTGAGTCCACCACTTGGAAAGGGAGGGACTGCAGCACCAGCAACTTGGACAGGAGGACGTTCAGCTTTTGCACCGTCGGGTGCGTGCTCGCAAACTGTTGTCTCTTGGAAACGGATTCCAAGAAAGACTGCTGACGGAATCCGTGAAGAGGAGTAGCAGGAGAAGGAGCATCAGAACGAGCGGAAGATGCCAACGAGCGACAACTCCCCTCAGCAGAGGTGTTGGAGCCTTGACTGGCTGATAGAGGGCGATTGACGTCGGGTGACGGAGCAAGTAACGGAGCGGGTGATGGAGCGGGGGCTGGGGCGGGCAGAACCGCCGTATCTTTATCACGGTTTTCCCAGGCCACCAAATGGCGACGCTGCATATGCTGCCGCAACGCTGTAGTCCCAACATGGGCCCCCTGGCCACGCTTGACTTTCTGGCCACATAGTCGACATACGGCTACGTTTACTTCCTCGGGCGGCTTGACAAAAAATTGCCACACCGCCGAGTAGGAAACTTTGCCCCCGATACTCCTCACTGGCTGACTGCTGCTTCCTCCGTGCACACCGGCACCACTACTGGCCGTGGTGGTAGGCTGCAGTGGAGCTGGTGCTCTACTCCGTGGCCGTTTGCCTCCACTGACACTGCTGCGACCCTGCTGCCTCCTGGGCAACCCACCGACTGTTTTGCTCGCTGCCAAGCTGCCACCCTCTTCTCCTGATGATGCGGAAGCAATATACTGATGACGACGAGGCTGCCAAGTGCGATCAGCCTCATCATCATCAATTAGGGTCTCCGCCTCACTACTAGCCCCCTCGGCTGCGTGTGGGTCAGGAGAGACAGACCTGTCTCTAGACCGGCTACCGAGCCACTCTCCTCGCCACTACTTCTTCGCCTGGCTGCTGAAGAGGCGGATGTCTCCCCCCGTTCCTCCTGACCGCCCTCTGTTAGCTCTTCCTCACTGTACAGTGGGGCTGAGCCCACAGCATGCGATACTTCGCTTGGTGAGGGAACACCAAAGGACAGGGGCAGGTCGAGGACACGTGATTTCAGTGGGCTTGCTCCCGGGCCATGCCAACTAACGGTTGTGTCTGACGTACCCACCGACCGTTGGCTGTAGGTGTCAGAGGTGACCTGGGAAGAGGAAGACGACCGAGCCAACCAATCGATGACGGCAGGGTTGTCGGTGGAGACACGACCGCTGGATGACACCGGGAGCACTGGCCTCTGGCTGCGACTAGTGCTGCCTCGACCCCTTCCTCTGCTGCCACGTCTGCTCGCTCCTAAAACATTGCCTCCTCTGCCACTCCTATGCATGTTGTCTGACATACTCTTTAATTAAACGATTCTGTGTCCCTGAGTAACAATTCTGTGTCTGTCCCTGAGTAACAATTCTGTGTGTGTAACCCTGAGTAACAATTCTGTGTCCCTCAGTAACAATTCTGTGTCCCTCAGTAACAATTCTGTGTCCCTCAGTAACAATTCTGTGTCCCTCAGTAACAATTCTGTGTCTGTCCCTGAGTAACAATTCTGTGTCCCTGAGTAACAATTCTGTGTCCCTCAGTAACAATTCTGTGTCCCTCAGTAACAATTCTGTGTCCCTCAGTAACAATTCTGTGTCTGTCCCTGAGTAACAATTCTGTGTCTGTCCCTGAGTAACAATTCTGTGTGTCCCTGAGTAACAATTCTGTGTCCCTCAGTAACAATTCTGTGTCCCTCAGTAACAATTCTGTGTCCCTGAGTAACAATTCTGTGTCCTCAGTAACAATTCTGTGTCCCTCAGTAACAATTTCTGTGTCCCTCAGTAACAATTCTGTGTCCCTGAGTAACAATTCTGTGTCCCTCAGTAACAATTCTGTGTCCCTCAGTAACAATTCTGTGTCCCTGAGTAACAATTCTGTGTGTCTGTCCCTGAGTAACAATTCTGTGTCCCTCTGAGTAACAATTCTGTGTCCCTCAGTAACAATTCTGTGTCCCTCAGTAACAATTCTGTGTCTGTCCCCTGAGTAACAATTTGTGTGTCCCTGAGTAACAATTCTGTGTCCCTCAGTAACAATTCTGTGTCCCTCAGTAACAATTCTGTGTCCCTGAGTAACAATTCTGTGTCCCTGAGTAACAATTCTGTGTCCCTCAGTAACAATTCTGTGTCCCTCAGTAACAATTCTGTGTCTGTCCCTGAGTAACAATTCTGTGTCCCTGAGTAACAATTCTGAGTCCCTCAGTAACAATTCTGTGTCCCTCAGTAACAATTCTGTGTCCCTCAGTAACAATTCTGTGTGTGTCCCTGAGTAACAATTCTGTGTCCCTGAGTAACAATTCTGTGTCCCTCAGTAACAATTCTGTGTCCCTCAGTAACAATTCTGTGTCCCTCAGTAACAATTCTGTGTCCCTCAGTAACAATTCTGTGTGTCCCTCAGTAACAATTCTGTGTGTCCCTCAGTAACAATTCTGTGTCCCTCAGTAACAATTCTGTGTCCCTAAGTAACAATTCTGTGTCCCTAAGTAACAATTCTGTGTGTCCCTCAGTAACAATTCTGTGTCCCTCAGTAACAATTCTGTAACAATTCTGTCCCTCAGTAACAATTCTGTGTGTCCCTGAGTAAC